TGCGGGCGACGTTCGAAGCGCTTCTACGTCAGTTTATTTCTTCTTCTCCTTCTTCGGTGTGGTCCTCTTTGTAAACGCGACACAGTCGAGCTTGCTTCGCACCCCCTTCACCCTCACTCTCGATTCCGGAAGAATGCGCATAAGGGTTATTGACCTATCGTGAAATTTCGCACCCCCGTCACCCTCCGAATTCCTTCCCTCAAAGACGCCCGTTCTATTCTCTTCTCGTCTTTTCTCGCCTAACAAGCGAGACAAGAAGAGATTTTACGAGAAGAAAAGGGGAATAAAAAAGTGCAAGAAGGGAAGAAATAGGACAAAAGAATGCAATGAGCGTGATAAAAGGGTGATAGGCGAGCACCCTAGTTTCCAAACGTCGGGGAAAAAGAGACGCTCTACCGAGTGTGTTCGGTTGTAAACGAATAATTTCAAGACTTCACGCGCGAGTTACGCAGACAATTAAACAACAGAAAGTATGCACGAGCGTGCAATATAATTTTCCGATTCTTCGAGGAGCGAGCAAGCAGCAGCTACTTTGCAAAAGAGGTCGTTGTATTAGAAATTTTCTGCACGCCACGAGAGAGCACGAGTTTTTACATGACGTTGCTGCAAAACTTAAAGAGACCTCTCGAAAATCCTAATTTCGCTTGCCTTTTTCCACGCTTTTTCTCTTAAAGTTCTTGCACGTGTGTTGAAACGAGAAATAGTCTCAATCGCGACCAGTTCACACTTGCAATTTCTTTTCGCAACAAGAGTAAGACGCATAGAATAATGTATAGCTTGTCAACTGTAATAATGTCGGATAGCTCGGCTATAGAAACGTAGAATGAACCATCTAGTGCTAAGCGAACCGATCGAAATGTGTGGACGCGTGAAAAGAAAGAACGTGAACCAAAGTGCAGGGTCAACGATCCTCATTACGCGTGTCTTGAAAGGCACAAATAGAACGAGTTGATCAATGTGACTGATCTCACGATGCGCCGTTCACCAAGCAGAGACCGTCCCGTGAAGCGTAACCCCATATCCGCATCGACGCTTATTAAAGCCACCTTCCTCGCTCGACTAGATCACATACACGGCGTTCCAAAAGTCCGAGATCAGCGCCACAGTGCGAAAATAGAAATTATTTAAGAAGTTGATGTCGTTCAAAAATAGAGAAACAAGAATAAGAGAACGTTTCTCAACGATTTAAAAAATCAAATATTTTTTTCTAATGGAATAGAATGTCACGTCACTTGCGTATCACACACGAATTTGAGAATTTAAATACGAATTTTTTAAAACATTTACACATGTTGCGTATGTCTCTGTTAATATTAAAATGCGGTCAATCAATTACTTAGTGTAATGTCAAAGTTTACCCATCGCGTGGTTGACGGAAAAAAAACGGAAAATCAATTCTCTGGACCGAGCCGATTGCACAACACGACCATCCTCGAGACCGGGACAAAGCTGCCGCGGCAATAATTATATCACGTGTGCAATGTGCGCAGTAGGATCGATGCCTCTATCATTCGCAAACGTGTAACAGAGCCGCCATCGTGAGAAACATCATTAGGGAGAAAGCAGGACGAACAAAGAGAAAGAAGAAGGGAAGGGGAGCTTCATCCGGTAAGTTCTCATGCTAGTTGTTCGCGATAGCTTCGTGACATTGTGAAAACACACAATGTACAAACTTCATAAAATTGTATTGTATCGTACGAAAATTTCTAACAAAAACTCTCTCAGACATGGTAATGCTTTCAGAAGAATCAAAACTTTTTCTCAATCAAAATTCAATAAACAGTGAAAAATATTTGATCGTTGATGTAAATGTCACCACATTATGTTATTCCTATAGGAATTCCTAAATAAATTACTCCAATTTAGAAAATAATACTCGATGTAAGACCTGTTAAAGTTTACACGCTGATATATTAAGATTTTCTATATAAAAGATTTTTTTTTTTTAATTGATGGAGTAAAAAAAGACTCGTAAAAAATTCGAGATTTTTCTCAATAAATAAAAACTCGATGCATTCGAAAAATTCGAGAATATTTAACAACTGAATATAGTTTCTGTAACATTTCTCTGATTCAAAATCGTTCTTGAAAAAGCCCGGAAGGAGTCTATGGGAAATTACGCCAATGCGGAAGAGATTCTACAACACTCGTCGTCGCACCTCGTCGCGGAAGGAGCCTCTATCGATCCTCGCCGCGATACACTTAGGCGACAAGTCGAGAGAGGAAGTAGTAGAATCGACGGTTGTATCGTCGACAATCAGTCGCTCCGTCACTAAGACGAGTTCATCCGACAAAATTTAGCTAATCTGTTTGTTATGGGAGATTCTTGCGGTCAGCTGTGTTCTATCGACAGACTCTCAAGAGACTTGTACAATCGATAGTTGAGAACGGATGGTCTGCAGAATGCAGTTACAGTAATTTGCTCTTAAATCCTTGCCATAAATCCGCTCAAAGATCACTTATTTTTTCGCTTTCAGAAATCGATTTGTGCAATTTTGCGCAGAAAGAAATTTTTTTTTTCTAATTTAATTTATGGCGAGCATTTTATTATTTATCAAAATGATAATATAACCGTATTAAAATGTACTTTTTCGGACATGCAATTAATATTACATTAGAATGGAAATTGTATCGGTTAAGCCAATATAGCGAGGTTATTGGATGACATTGACAATTTGCATGCGACGCACGCATTAATTAAATGAACGCTAATTCCTAACATGAGGATGGAGCAAAGAACACGTAGCGCGTAGATTAATTAACACGTCGATCAAAATTGTGTCAATTAGTGGCAGATTGTTCGTGCCTGCTGCGAAATACTCTCAATTAATTCTTGCGATTGCACTCTGCATGAAAAGTTTCTAATCTTTTGATTTAAAAAAATTCTAATCGACATGTCCCAATAAAACGCGAATTCATGAATCTTTCTTTCAATCATCCTGAATCTGAAGGAGAAATTTGCAGTACAATCATTTTATTTCTTGTCAAAGCATTCGCGCAAAGTATAAAATACCCGACTCGACCTTCCATTTCGTAGAGTCTAGAAAAAAGTGCGATGTTTCGTTCGATTTTAACTGACTTGACACTCAAATGACACCTTGAGGTCTAAACGCTTAGATTCTCCTCAACTTGGCCGAACGCGATCAGATGTAAGCAGAGTGACTCGCTCGAATTGACCTCGCCGAGGAGCCGTTTCGCATGATCGATCTGAAATTCTGCAAATTTCGCGCGTGATATTTGCGGCGAGCCATCATCGAATGGCAGATAGTGGGCACGTCGCGCGAAAGGCCGCGAGCCAATGTACAAAGTAATGGAAAGAGCGTTGTTACCTTGACGAAGTGCAGGTTCTCCTTGTCGAGGAGGAACTCCATGGACTTGTGCGGCCGCTGGTGGATAGCGGACGTTGCGACGGACGCGACGTCGTCGTCGTCACGGAGGGGTGTCCTGTGCGAAGCGCCGACGGGCGACTGGGGTACGTGGAGGGCGTGCTCGGGCCGCGGCCGCGGCGCCGCCGCCGAGGTGTGGTTGAGATCGAGCAGGCTGCGGGTCTTCTTACCGCCAGCCGCGGTGGTTGCGGCGGCAGCGGTGGTCGGCGGACCACCGGCGGCGGCGCGCGTACTCGTGGCGTCGTACACCGCCTCGTCGAGATCGGTCTCCAGCAGGCCGATCGGGCGCTCCGGGCCTACGGTGTACATCGCGCGCGCTTTCGCCATCTCGATCGCCGCCGGGTTACCGAGATCCGTGGCGGCGCGTCGGCGCGACACCGCTGCTGCCGTCGACGCCGACGCCGACGCTGAGGCTCGCGTCGACGTACCCAAAGCGGCGACGCGTGGCGGTTGAGGCGGCAGGGGTGGTTTGCTGGACACTGGCGCCCTCCCGTTGCTGCTGCAACAACAAACAGACGTCCTCTTCAGAATGCTGGTCGACTGCGGTCGAATCGCTTGGTAATTAAAGAAAATTAATTATCGGGCAAGATCAATTTCCGAGATAAACTTCATTTAATCTGGTACGAACTGCTGATTGGGAATTTCGCCGCACCACGACCACGACATCGTTCATTCCAAGAGCGGAAGGGTGGAAGATGGTGAACGTGCGATGTCGGTGGCGATCGAAACCCGCTGGCAAACGCAACTGGCTTTACACAGCGTGTCGCGCGCACGTTGGACGACGTTGCGCTGGATAATTGGATATCGACGGATTGCATTAGGATGGTTTTAAGGTTTGAACATTGATTTGACCCTGAATATCGCTAGGCTAATGTTGTGCAGTTGATCAATGACAATTGATCGTAATTAGAGTCTGCAAGTTTTGATGGTGCGAGCGGCACATTTTGCGCTTTGCCTCATTTCATATTTATAGCACATAAATATGAAAGCTCATCTTTTATTTTATTTATGATGATATTCGTTCGCTAATTCGTTAAACATATTTCTTATTTTGCCTTATAAAATTTGCTGTGGTTCATAAAAGATAATTGCTTCATTACATTGATGGACATTATCATTGAACTACATTGAAAGCAAGTCGCGTTACTGTCGTGTTTCTGTCAAAGGCCAGATTAACGGTACCAAATGAGAACACACGGTTTTTGTTTGAGAACACGCGGCGACGCTATTGTGATGCGGTAATTGAAAAGTGGTGTTGAAGTGGCGTTTTACGCTGTCGCGTGACGTCATCGATTTTCGATAGCGAACATTGAGCGGCATTGAAGGGTTGCGCTTTTTTTTTATTTACCGAACAAAAATCGTGGACAGGATAATTGCTCGCATAAAAATAAAAATAAATAAAGAATGTAGAACACAATTTTTCAGGCGAGACTTTATTTTGAAGAGAATTAAAAAAGTGTCGATTTTTAACCGATATGCTTATAATTTTGTACGCATAGAGTACTCTTACTTTCTTCGCCTCTTGATTATACATCTAAAAACTATATTTATATCTAAAAAATATTCACATAAAGATTAACAACAACTTGATACGTTAACTATAAACAAACATTTCTAGGATTATCAAAATATTCACGCAAGATTATGCCGACTTTCGCTTTCCGATCTCGCATCGTGTCTCGATTCGCGACAGACAGTGGTTACTTTATCGAGTTTCCGCGTAGTGGTCGAATGGGGTTTATAGATAAAGGCATGACTATCCCCGGCGAAGAGGACAGTCATTAATAAGACTTTCTATCCGCCATGAGCGTAGTTCCCGATAAGAGAAGTTAGAATACAGCGAGCTATTATTCCGAGCTCCTGACAAAACCTCGTTATATTGCGAATAAACATGAAGCTGTGTGATCTGTTATGGAGCTGTAATCTGTTACAGGCGATGATCTTTGACCGCGAGTTATGCGATTACAGAATAATCAGCGTCAAGTTCGTCTAAAATGTTCGGTGGCGAAACGATGACTCAATTACAAGTTTGCTTAACGAGTTGTTATTACATGTAAATTAGATTTCATCAAATATTTTTCCGATTACAAAGTACGTACAACATATAGAGCGTGTCTCTGTCGATTATGTGATAAAATAAACACTATACTGAGTAATGTTATTGCTTGTAAGTATTTTTTATATATTTTTATGTATCTTTTATTCATGTGCTAACACTCGTATTATTCCTGTCTAATTAATATTATTGTATGGTATTAAGAGCAAACTTTGCAACGGTAGCTTTTCTTTGAACCAGCGGATACTTTAATCGGTTTCAAGTTTTCAGATTTTTTCAAATTAACTCAAGAGACGGCTCACTCTTGTATGCATGTGTATACCGGGAATTTTCGCAAAACATTTTAAAGACACTTACAAATTACTATCAAGACTTGCTAAGAGTCGCAGTTATGAAGTAGCTGTGCCTATTTGCGAAGCATTAATAGGATTTCGATGCGGAAGCCACTCTTCGACTTGCGCACGTGACTCGACGACGCGCTGTGGCATACGCGATCCGGTTTTATTATCGCCGTGTAGCGTGAGATCATGTTCATAAACACTGCCCTCGACGCGATGAAGAATCATCGGCCTCTAAACTTAGTATTATGACTAACCATAAAAACAACGAGCGTTTTCGAGGTTTCAAAAATCTGCGTATTTTGCCGATTTCGATAGAAATCAACACTTAGCTAATAGAGTTTTAATATTTACGATATTTGATAAGGTAAAATATAAAAAAATGAGCTTAGCTATTTATAAATTAATATTTATATTAAAATTGTTTATATTAAATAATATTGGTGCTAATATATATATAAAAAATTTGATGTTTTGAAATAATTTTTGCAATAATGCACATTCTGTCCGCTTTGACGGATTTAATCCATGCAAGATCAACTCAACACGGCCTTGCGATACGACGTAATAACTCGCCCTGATGACAACGGAGCGGCTGGAGAAGCCGCGTGGAATGAGCGCGGGAGCGAACTTAATTGCGCTGTCATTAAAAAGCCGGCTAAATGGACGCATTTGTTGCATTTTTAAGACGGAATAAAAAGAGAAGCAAAAATAAGCGGATAAAAAAATATAGGCACAAATAAAAAACGAAGCTGAAAAGCTGTTAGTCCCCTTGAGCGATGATGACGAGGAAAGCACAAAGCTGAAGAGGAACGCAAATCTCGCGATCAGAGCTCTTAGAATGTGACGTTGAACCCGCTTTCAAACGCGACTTCCGGACTTGAACCGGAATGGAATAAGATTAATAAGATGGTTCTCTCTGACCGGCATTACACCTACACACGTGTGCAAGGTGTATATTTAACTATGGTATGCATGAGCGAGCGAGTCTCGAGTTCGCCGTCGCACCAAGTCGAGATATTAAAGTTGGCGCAAAGCATTTGCCATTTTCATTACTCAATTGCAAATAAACTAATCGTTTTCAAATAACTTTTGGTTCAACCTAGCTTTATTTCTTTCACAATTTGTCATTATTTTTATCCAGAGAGCAATAAAAATTCGCTTTCGATTCTGAATGCACGATGCGCATAAAGTTAAAAATAAGAAAACAAGTATTTTTATAATTACAAAGTGTTTCAATTATTAAATTGCCGGATGCTGGTGCATTACGTTTTCTGATGTTGAACTTTGAGATTTTATACCCTTGCATAATTCCAAGTCCAATTATACCGGATCTTTGCCCGGAGAAGAGCTCGACTCTCAGACACCAGTTCCATTTGCAAAAAGCTTTTGCGCGGAATAGCGGCGGCTTCTTAAATTATATCTCACAGCTTGCAATGATGATTCATCGCCCCTAAACGCGAACAGGCGCGAGAATGGGCGTGGGATATCGACTGCGTTCTGTTTAGCGTCTCATTAAACAAACCGAGAAACGCAGCCGCCGAAAATCTACGTGCTATAAATAGAATAATCCTTTGACGAGAAAGAGGGAAAAAATATAAATTACGTAAGAGCGAGAAAATCAAATTCTGAAAACTGAAAGTAAAACCTATACAATCTGTGTAAATAATGAATAATTATTAATTTATAATTTATAATATTTATTATTTATAAAGGAAAAACATTTTGCGAAGAATTGCCATGACTTAGGTAAATAAATTAAACGTTTGACATTAAATTCACTGCTTAAATATGCGATTCACGTATATTTTGCAGAATCAGAGATTTATTCGATGCGCCATCCGGCAAAAACACAACGCGAAACTATTA